AMCCMMMMCMWTYYTKRMCSKTWAAGAMGASTCGACTTGGTAATGCTTTGACGCAMCATCGTTGCATGACCGAGAACGGCGTCGCGGCAACGTTATCACGGGCAATAAATCGTCCATATATACGATGTGYAGCGACGCCATTTTGTACAGGCTTAGATAGYCAGTTTAAATAGACATGAAAAGATTCGAGGACTGACAACTTTATTGCASAAAATGGCGTCGCTTCACTTTGCTGAGTTCAATTCGTACTCTGTTTGCTRTGCTCAGAAATCATTTATGTGTTATCAAGCTAGTGTTTTTGAATTTGAACAGTTGAATTTTATTTTGAAGAGAGAACAAGGGTAATTTTACAAACTTAKAATCAACTAAAATTACTATACCTTTTTCATAGGTTATGGACAAGACTTCCTTCGAGAACATACTTTTTAATTTGACATACGTCTCAAACGTCCGGAATCAAGGGCCGTGCAATCAGTTGGATAAACATGAAATACAGGTTTCTAGCTAAGGATCCAGCAAATCGTGCTGTCAAAATGCAATGACAATATGCTAACATACATTGTACCTCTTTTCAACAGTACGATGACACTGGGATGCCGTTTTTAAATCTATTTTTTATTCAATCAAATACAAAGAGAATTTTTCTCGTCTTTACTGAGTTCGTGCATTGGGGATCAGCCATGAAATCAGAGAAAGTCCGTTTATGTTTCTAGATCTATCTTATAGATCTCTTATAGATATAAACCGATTTATGACAATTAATGAATGAAAATAGAAATAATAGAATAAGAAAATATATATTAAATCAATTTGCTTGTTATTGTATTATTGATTAGAAGTAGTTATAGGGGTCCTTACACAGCCATTTTGACTGACCTTGACCAACAGTTACAAATAAGTATACTAAACGCCTATTCACTAACGTTGGAGGACAACGGGCAGCTGAAACAAGTTTTCATTTTTACTAATATCATCTCATAAAGATCTCAAAGATTTCATGCATGAAATTATMATTTCTTGTTGGTTTTTCTCGAGGAAAGCTTTCTTAAAACAATTTCCTCATAGCTACTGCACACACATGAAATTACTTTATCACTATACCGGATCGGGCACACTATACTTTTGGCAAATGAAAAGTACAATTATCTTTCATAAAACTGTCATGAATGAATTGACAAAATAGCTATCTGTTTGCTTTATTGGTGTTAAGTTTATATAGTTTTGACTAGGGTACTTTTATTACTGAACTTCTGGTACTGATATAGCTTACATTGCTCTTTCTGATACACAATCTTTTRTGTGACTGATGTTAGCACAGAAGAAGAGAAGGAGGACAATGAGACATTGAGTCTGGATAATAGGAACTGATTTAAGTAAGGGTATACGGTTGCCGTAGGAAATTCAATTCAATTGCATGGGAAGAAAGCCGTGGGAAATTATAGCTCAAACGAAATTGAACTGAATTAATCAAGTTAAYGCAAAGAAAGAATGAAAAAAAGCCCAAAGATGAAGAACTGACAAACAGGCATCAACGGGAAAGCAAAACAAAATTGCATCGACGATAGATTAACTGAAAAAAATAGCTAGGAAAAACAAAAGGAATATTTGAGTGACTAGCTCAACTGAAATCAGCTGAAAAGTATTTTTCATTTTTAGAAAGAGCTTARCTCTATTATATCTCACCAAATAACCAGTTATGTGGCATGTAATGTGCTTGAATACACCATTTAACATGATATTACTTCAGTTATCCACGTTATCTACATCCCATGGAGTAATGACATTTTTAGGAAATCAGTCTAGCACTGAAAATATACCATTCTGTTTTATGAGCACAAATCCGCCTTACTGAGTACATTGCCCAGTAAAACAGTTAGTAAATGCGATTAGGCTTAGTCAGGTTATTACATTTTATGAGCGCAGCTAACCCAGTATTTTACTTCTATAGATTTGAAAATCGCTCAACACAAAGGTAATTTCAAGAGATGTTCAAGTAGAGATATCAAGTTTTTTTTCCAATTATCACCTTCCTCTTTTTAATATTTGCTAAATCTCACAAACTTAATCACTCTCAATCAAAGTCGGCAATCGATACGGTACCTTAGGAAAATTTCATTAATGCGTTACCTTTTGAAACAAGGAGAYTATTCCGAGAATCAAGTGAAGCAATAAAGGTTATTTGCAAACGGAACCCCTTAAAAAAACGGCGTCAAACGTTTAATCAACAAAACTTGTTACAAAGATGAGATAAATGCGCTGATAGGATGGTGGGTTGAGTCAACAAAAGCAATGGTCGGATACAGAGAGTGCCTATAAGTATTATTAGTTGACTTAACGAAGATTAATTAAGAGTGCTTTTATTTYTATAAAGACTAAAGACAGATCATATACTGCTAGTACCTTGCAAGTTTGATCAGTTCATTTTAGACATTATAAGTTTTGGAACTATTCGTCTGAAGGTGTTGCACTTGCTGCTGAACGTTTATCTCTGTTGACAGGTGAAGGAGGCCACAAAATACTGCAGTAAATCGAGTTARRRCATCAAGAAASTATATTATACTCCAAACCGCAGGAATATGCAAGCGAATGAATCTTCAAACGCCACCTCCAACCAAACCAACAATTTCCCGCCACCCCTGACAGACATGAAGCTATTAGGAACAGTGTTCTTTTCCTTGATCTGTTCTCTTGGCGTCGTTGGAAATTTYCTTGTCCTTCTAACTTTAGCTCGCTGGAGGGAWATGMGAACCCCTTGTAATCTACTCATTGCCAATATCTCGTTTGTGGACTTCATYGTTGCAGCTATCATGTCACCCTTGAGGATTGTTGAGATTTCAGATCTTGGTTGGGTGCTTGGTGAGTTTCTTTGTTACGTTCTTGCTCCTTTTCAAGATGGTTTGATATCTGTATCGGCCGTCTGCCATACAGTTATAGCAATCGAGAGATATCGTGCTATTTTGGTGCCGTTCAAGCCTAGGCTTAACGCTCGTAAAGTCAAGATTACCTTAGCGCTGGTCTGGATTGGATGTTATCTCGGAGCATCGTTGCCTTTGGTGTTCTTCATAACATATGAACAAAGGGGTAATRTAATGATCTGTTTAGCAGACGGGTTCCCTGTGGAGCACATTTATATCTATTCRCTGTACTTGGTCATTGCATTCATCGTCATTCCCCTGTCCCTTCAAACTACATCATATATCATGATAGTTCGCTTTCTACAGCGAAAAGACGYCGTTCAGAATCACCAAGAATCATGCATGACAAGCTCGTCACGTATACAGCTGAACACTACAAAACGGCGAATCAAGAAGAAAAAGCGACTGGTCAAAATGCTGATAACTCTKATGGTGGTTTTTCAGCTTTGCTACATTCCTCGTGGGATGATCATGATTTTGTATGAGTGGGGAGGACCTCTACTCGGTCATCCATTGTTTCCGTACATYGATTTAGCAACCATGTTGTTGTTCTACATAAAACACATAATAAATCCTGTSATATTGTATTCGATGAGTCAAGACTTTAGGCATGGTTTGGTGTACCTTGCGAGGTGTCGTACAGTGGAAGAATTCTCATCGGATGGCTATGGTAGCGGGAAAAAGAGCACGTACAAAACGAAATTGTGAATTGCCCTATTTCATTATGACGTCACAGTATGTTTACATCGGAAAACGATGCTCAAAAACAGTRGAAAYWTGGACSCATTTATATTGTCTAATAAAGTAGAACCTCAATGAATCGCGTTTTGATATATATCATATATAAATGATTGTTCATGTACATTTTATTTGATATGCAGTCACTCTGATCCCTTCTGGCGACCATAATCCTTAGCGTTAAAACAATAGAATGTTTTGATGTGACCTCATAATGAACTAGGGCAATTCCTCCGTATAATGTAGTTATAAATATGGACTACAAAAACCACGACTGCTCCTTGTGGGAATCAAGACATCCAGCACATTTATATGCTAGTCTTGTTAATAACTTTAGTAAGACAGGAGAAGAATTATGCAAAGACAATGTAATCGGAAGTTATTGCAGTTACACTTACATGCAAGGCGTTGTCATCAAAAAGTCCATCATCTTCAAACAGTGATCATAGATATTCACTTAAAACATAATGCATAAAAAAAGCAAAATGCAATATACATTCAAGTGGTGCAACACCTCAAAATAAGAGAAACCCGAAATTTTACTGCGTGATAAATGCGATTTTAATAGCCAGCGGTAGTATAGAAGCAAGCGATTGGCCATACTGATCAGTGTCCTTTGATCACTAAAAAGCGAATGTAAATCATATAATATCGTGGTGAAAATAATATATAATAAAAATAATTGCAAACAATTTTTGCTCTTACTTCAATCTCGACAGAATTCTACTTTAATGCTTCGCGAGCACTTTCATGTGGCAAGATCACCAAAAGCGGGCTTCCTGTGTTTTAACACAGGAAGCCCAAATATCTAGCCTATTCAATGGGAATATATTTTTTTCAGATGGTTCCTTAATTTTATTGTCTTATCTCTCTCATAGTCTTCTAGTCTTATCCGCAGATGGCAAATTATCTTTTTAATATCCAGTATAAAGTAATGAATATTTTTCAATCTGACACTTTCATGCTGTATAAGTCGAGTTCCAGACTGTTGAATTAACATTATTGCCTTAATATATCTTATCTTTTGTAAGCATAACGATATTCAATCAGTGTTCACCCAAAATTCCAGMAGTATATTAGTCATTTTGCCGCAATCAATTATTTTTTGCTTTGTGGTGACCGAAAGATCACATTGTCAGAATAAAAAACGGTGAATTGTAGATTTGCCTTAAAGTATGTTTACGTTGTTCAAGATACTCCTCKATAGAAGTTAAACACAGACCGGAAAACTGTCAAGAAGTCAGTAGATTGTGTAGTTCATTTGTCTTYAAATTAAAGTTATTTGTTTTTTATTTTATTTGCTCGGATATTAATTTGCTGTTATTTACACTATTCCGTCTGAGTATTTCATGAATTTCTCTTTTTACTTCCTTTCTGCTTTCTTTTTTTATTAATCCCCTTTCCTTTCTCTTTTTTTCCTTTCTCTTTCCCTTTCCTCCTCGGATGCCCCAGTCTTTCCACGGAAACCSCAAAACAAAACCGGAGAATAACGCTTGTCCGCAGAGGACGCTACGTGTAGTATGACATGATGCAATATTCGAGCATTCACTACGTGCGATGACCTCAAACGTGGCAAATGTAATCGCCACTCACGTGCATGGAAAGCCATATGGAAGGTGACGTTTACGTGGGAACGCTAGATGACGTGTTGTGGTCCCACGACTCCCATAGATCATCACGATTCTTCATGCACAGTGCGATGCGCATTTCAGTGCAGTGGGGTTAGCCAGTTACATGTAAATAATAAAATATTTCACAGTATTTCTAACTTTTATTTGTATTTAGTTTCATCTTACAATCTAAATATTTTGAAATAACATCTGGGATAGTCTAGAARCCCTAGAATTAAAGAATGTCGGCTATGTCTGCTTGTCACGCCCCGTGGACGTAAGTAAAATTATTCTCAACTTTCAACCATGCGGCTTTGGATAAGGAGTAAAAGAGCCCTATAATCGATTAATATACTGTAGCAAGAAAAATTAATTTACAAGCCTCGACGCGATTCTTTGCATGTCAAGCTGTGATTGCATAACTCGATCTTAATATCACCATCCAAGCCTGGGCGTGGTCGAGGTCGATTACAGTTTTYTGCTATCATTTTCTCAAGGAATTGATATTTCTGATAACTGATCATAGTTCAAATGGTTGTACGGTTACGGCTTTATGTATATAAGGCAGCATCTGTCAACACGGGGTTAACTGTGCTCGGTTGACTCTGTTGCGGTAATGGATCAAGCAACAAGCCGGTAGACAGCATTTTCGATGTTGAACAGTTTCCTGAATTCCTTTTCCGTATAAAAAATCAAATACCCGTAAAGTCAACCTAAAAGCTACTGTGCGTTGAAGCGTGCTTACTGGTGCAAAATGTATTTCCTTTACGAGATGATTAGCTAATGATATGATATCAAGGTTTCTGCCTGAAAATTCTAAATTTAAGTGCCCTCTACATCCCTTAGTGATTTATGACCAAACGTATTCCTAAAATCAAACAAAAAACGCTGTSAAAAATTGAGCAATACATGTAGGGAAAACTTAGGTATTTATAAATCAATAGTTATTTGCCAGATTGATTTATAAAGGCAATGAAAATTATGGGAAGGTACCTATGCTCAGCACACTAGGTGGTAAGGGGTAGGGGGTAGGGAGTTAATGTGTTGATTCTCTTTCAGCTCATCCCCTTATAGAGAGCAGTCTGGAGGTCACATTTCCTGATGATCTCGTCTGGGAATGAAGCTTTTGTTGTCTCTATTGCTTAGGGCAAATAAAAACAATGTGTAAAGCAAACCTTACAAGTAGGTTGTTGATGTATGTGTTCAATTCTTCTTTCATGCCTTGATGTGTGTGGGTTTCTTACTTCCTAGACTGCGTCAACTCATGAGATTTTTCGCATTGACCACAAATAAACATCATTTCCGTGTCATGGATATACAATGTTTATACAATTCCTCAAATACACCAACTTTTCCTTCCTTAACCTTTCCTTTTTTGCAAAGATAAACTTCTAGTTTATCAGCAAAACGTTTAAACAGACGTAATTGCCGCGTAGCATCTACGTAACGGAACGTTGGCGAAAAAATGTACTTATGACGCGAACGTACTTAATAATTGATATGGGCAGTTTTACAATCTTTTACAGTCAAATCCAACAAGTCATTTCATATAACATATTTTGATATTTATATACAGTTCGTAATGACAATTTTTCCTTCAAATGTTAAAAACCTAATTAATAACTATTTAATAACTTTCTTGTTGTCTTCATATCTTCTAAACAWTGTTAATGGGACCGACTGCATGATCAATTTGTGAAACATGAACTAATGTAGACGCATGAGTCTTTGCGTCTACTAGACGATTCTCAAACATAGCAAGCAAAAAAAGATCGATAGTAAACTGGAGGCCGTTAAGATAGGCAGACTGGAATTTCAAGTCTTCGACTGAATTTTTCACGCGATAACAAGATTTCGCTGATAAAAGTTTTATTTGCGACAAAATCTAATAACACTAGCGACACTAGGGTGAATCTTAAATATGATTTTTCATTGTAGACARGATTATCTTATTTGTGTCGCAGCTGTATTTCGAGACGACACCACGCCAAACGTTAATACTTAAACCACTCCCTAGCTATCAAAACCTCGCCTATCTACTCTCCKATAATACTTCCCTCCTTTCTTAGTACAGTGGAAGTTGGTCTTTATTCATATTAGTCATCATAAATAAATGGAATTTGATACTAATGATAATTGGTTTTCTTTCTGATTTTTTGATACGCGACACGGAACAGATTTGACTATAACAGATAGTGACTCTGCTGGCTAGTCAGTCAATATCAAACTATTTAATACAAATTTCCGGAGCAAAGGGCTTACCATATTTGGTCAATTAAATACCAAAATATCAGTAGAAGAATACTTTAGACTACTGTAGAGATTGATGAGGAGATTGAAAACTTTAGTATACGTCTGGTGGGTTCGTTCTCACCATAGGTCACAGTAAGCTTTAACAAACGCGCCTCTGCCTGCTCAAAGAGGGCGTTCATAGCTAAAAGGGGGYTTACAYTCCTGTCCCCAGGGTAATGATAGGCTAATGCGCCTGCTGAGGAATAGCCGACTAGCCGATATTGTTTGTTGTTTGGTTCAGTGACTATGCCCGCGCAAACTGCTCCTAGAACGCGCGCGAGGCTCACGGGAGGGCAGGGGGGTTACTCCCAACCAAGATATTTGAAGACTATTGGACATGGTGTATTTTAATTGAAATTTCTTATTCTCTAAATTATCTTTTTTGAATTAATCTTGTGTTTTGTTTTTATGCCAAATTGATAACTTTTCATATAAAAATACATATAAAAATACTCAAATAATCACTTGTCAAATAAATAATCTTGGCACCCATATTTCAGTTTTCCTGGGCTTAGTTTCAAAAGTACTTGGACTACAGGCAGCACGTCTTTCRGGGTCTGAAGGTAAATATTGAATAATGAATAACGGTTCAAAATTGACTTGGAATAATGAATATAATCAATAAAASTCCTAAGGAATAATACATAATGAAAAAAATCAAAAAGGAGTAATGAAAAACTCAAAAAATATTATACTGAAAAATAATGAATAATAGCAAAAATATATACARTRAATAATGAGGAAAAATAAGACACGAATACAGAATAACTGCCATGTAAATATTCAYCTTCAGAYYCYGAACGTCTGCTGAGAMTCCTAACGTAAAAAGACGTCATTCACAAGCTGTGAATGCATGCTGCAAAAATAAGTTTCCCACGGCAATTTTGGTTGKCAYTGTTTCTWARGGAATAGTACCACTACTATRTGATAAGCCATGATAAACTGAACGATAAGATTAAATACTCTTATTACTAGTATATATAATTAAAGCTAGTTAAAGAACATCTTCTAGGTTTGCATAACCAGAATCCCTTTGGATCTATCGCCGCCATGTTGTTTATCACATCCAACATGGCGTCTGTCATAGTAACGTGAAACGTTTATGGAAAATTTTTAGTGGGAAGTAAACTGTGTACATGATTTTAGCATATTTCATAGGTCTCGTGTGTACATGAGGTAAGCCACGTTTCGATCAAATGTCAAATCATTTGCATTTTCCACTGAGAAGGCTATTTTAAAACTGTTTATCATTTTGAGGCGATAACCGATTAGCTTGTTTTCCTGAAGTGGTGAAATGGTSAAACGATTTTTGTTCATGAATAAAGACGTTTTATTTCGACCACCAAGAGCTAATGCTTGCAAACACTTCATGAAATTTCATGAAACTGAAAAGAGATGTTTTTTTTATATATTTGAGATGAGCCAATTAATGAATTCTCGCTGAGCTCCTGCTACAATAATTAATAGATAATGTGCATTGTTTGTGATTGATGGACATAGGGTACTAASTCCACAATTCAAATTATAGCCGACAATCTCTGCAGCGGGTCGTTTCACACTTTCATGGGATATTGATAAGATTTAAAAACTTGATATAACGATAAACCAGTTAACTAACCAACTATACTTGGCGGTGACAATAGTTGTACGTAATGGAAACTAAGCCCCAAAACGAATAAAAAGTGTTTTTTTGGTCCAACATGACAGCAGAAAGTATTAAAAGAGTCACTAGAAAAAGTAGCAAAAAAGGAGCTGAAAAACAGCTATATTTATACACTTAAAAAGTAGGACTACGTAGCCATTGACTAAAAATGTGGCGGCGCTAGTAATAGGCCAACTGGAACTATACTCTTGAAATTAACTTACAATGGAGACATACTATTAGTAGAGATTGCTTGAGCTCAAGACGCAGTGGAGCCACAGTAAGGAACACAGCACGACATTWCTAAAGACACCCTCATTTATTAAAAATAGACACGTTTAATAGTCAGCTACTTATCATTACGTTTGCATTTTTTTATAAAATCAGGAAGGTTTAGAAGCAACATTGAGAAAGGCGCGCGTGGTGAATTATGACCTTGGCTAGTTGATGGTTAGGATAAATAATATGCCCGCTTTGACGATGGGAAATCGAAACAATGAGGCAGGTGACCTTGACGTAAGAACCAGTATGATATTCTTGGAGTTGATTGTAATATTAATTATGGTATTAATTATTTTTAGCACACTGGCTGCAGATCATTTGCATGGCTTGCTTATTTTAATTGATCTAAATAAAAACTGAGGCCTTCGTTAATATGTCGTGAGTAAACCTCTACTTTTGATGAAAAGGACATTTGCCATGATGTTTTAAGATATAATAATTTTTTGCAGTTTAGAAAAGAGTGTGTCAGGCTTCAGTAAGATTAGAATGCAATTAGATGTGTTGGAAATTCATTTTTAGCAGACTTTATTTCGAATTCAAAGTGTTTTCACGCTTTTCGCTCAATAAACTACAGCAACATTTAGTAATTTGTTCAAAGATTGAGGGTACTGCCACCCTAGGGTAACCTATTACTGGTGAAGAGCAGAAGTAGTGACAGATGTTGCGTAGGATTGGTTTCAAATAATCCCATTATCATTCATTTATGTTCACTTTCATTTAATTATTTATTGGTTTGATATGATGACTGATTCACCAGGATAAATTAGCAAGCTCACGTTCAAACTGCACGCCTTTCGGGGCAATTAAACCGATTTTCCGTTTCATCAACAAGGTTATCGGGTTGTAGGAATATGGGAGGATTATAGCACAAACAACTACAGATAAACGGTGTTAATCAAATATGAACCGCAAGAAAAGTGAGATAAATCGAATTGATTAAATACACCTTTAATTTCAACTGATTTTTAGCAGTTAAGCTCGACTACAAATAAAACTTAGTATCTTTCCTTCCCGATACGATTTAAAAATCATGTCACTATAACCTGCTATAAGCTCACAAGGCGGGGAGTTTTTTCTAAAAAACCGGAAGAACTAATCGCATTTCCTCGTTTTCACAACAAAAAAACTAACATGTGTTATATTAAGGTCGATTTGCTTTGAACTCAGGTCTAAGCAAGCCTTCAATTGACATAAAATGTAAAACTATAAAGATYCCCATCTCTGTAAGCGGTAACTTGTCACATCGACTGAAAGGGATCGAAAGRCGCTCAATAATTTAATCGGTGTCTAACAAACTCTTCCTTTTAATGAAATTTCCCCCTCATTGAGGCTTGATATGAACCATACTAATACTATATATATATAGTTGCAGCGCCAATCATGAAATCAAGGCAAGAAATTAAGTGCATTTTAATTTGCCTCCCGATTTGTCAGATGTCAAACTGAAAAAGACAACTCTCAAAAGATTAATTACAGTGAATGTTCGCCAGCCAAAATCTTAGTGGTTGCCTGAGGTTACTCAAAACAAGAAATTACTATTGCTMYCAAGTTTAATAAAGRCTGGATCTCCTAACGCAATTAAAAGTTTAGAAATAAACATGTGTATAATAAAACTAGAAATAAAACTGCTCTTAGACTCCTTTTGGACGACCATCCTCGTTGGTGACTTCGTTGAAAATATAATATAAGCTTACTGATTTAGTTTCAAACAATGTTTCCTTCGTATTCCATATCATCTTATATGGCTATTCAGTGTTTTTGTTTTTCGAGAAAAGTGTGCGTGGAGAAAGAGATGAAAGGATAAATTATTAGGAAATATGTCATTTCATGTGACTGGAGAATAATTCATTCTGTGTAGTCCTAGTCGAACAAGAGAAATCTCGTTTTTTGTTCATTCACTAGCWTGGCTTATAAAAAAGTTATTCTAAATTGTTTTGTAGATAAAATGCACAAAACTATTTAGTCTCACTTCATAGTTTAATGCATTTTATTTCATCCATTATATTTAGTCTATTTATTTTGTACGATTTCCCAATATCTATAAAACACRAAATTGAAAGGTTTATTGACAAACGACATCAATATTAAAACTGTAGGTGTTTTGAATGAAAGCAAAACGTTTACAATAATATTAAAGGTTGCACAATCTGGGTCAGTGTTAATAAAACCAACTGTGAAATTACGAGATCGGAAAACCCKGAGTCGAACTTCTTCCGTTAGATGAGTTCCAAGCTCTAATCTGGAATYGATAACTTTCCTCAGATTTATCGCAACAGTTTTGATTTCGATATGTCATTTTTGACATTAACGACATTGTCCCTTGTCGATATTCCGCGCTTTCGAAAAGAGACTGCTATTTCGCATTGATTATCCATATTTGTGTTACCCCACTTATGACGTCACATCCGTCCCCACCTAGGGCCTCATGACCTTCAGAATAAAACGATATCGTATGCTAACCYGAGTGTCCAATAGCACACAAACTGTCATCCATTCATTTCCTCTTGACGAGAAATGCAAGAATCATTCCATATAACAAGGATATATTGAAGAAAAAGATCGGCATCGTGCTGACAGAACGCTTTGTGTTGTTGATTCGACGTAGTGGAACGAGCATCCCTGATTTTGGTCATGATTCTTCGAAGATTCTCTGTACTTGTGATGAGTTTCGTTTTGGCTGCCAATCTCTCATCTGCAGGTATCGTAACCATATTTCTTTTGTTTCTAACTGGTGTTTTTTTATGTTGTTGTGTTGTAGTGCAACTCAGGGTACTTYACTGTAAGGTCATGTTCGCGTGTTTATACTGTGTGACTCCAATAAAATGTAGTTAGAAAATCCTTTGAATTTTAAGTAATTATATCGCTTTATAGTTTAGTTAAATGACGTTCCATGAAAGTATATTATTACTTGGAAATATGCTCTGAAGTAAAGCTAGTTAGCTAGGGTATCTTTGGTGGACTAGGCGAACTCGTATGCAGGGGAATCCGTCTTGACGTATGTAATATCTTAAGACCTAAAATATATTGGACGTSAGAGACTCGCCTTTAAAGGCGCACGAATATACAAGTACTAAGTATGAATACTTAGGAGTTTTCAGTTTCCACTTAAGAAACAAATGCAGCTTTTATGAGATGTTTAAGATTTGTTAGTGGTTCATTCAAAACATAATTTTAATTAAAAATATATTTTTAACAAGTTCAACAAACTCAATGACCATTTTCTGCCAACAACAACAGAATAGACAAYGGATCAATTATTATAACCTTGAACTTATCAACAGTTTTGTAATAGCCATGGCTTCRTGTGTAGAAAGGCGATTGTACGTGTTATCTTGTTTTGTAAGCATGTAAATGAGAATTTGCTAGCYGACCGGACATTCAGTTCTCAAGAAACTAAGACAGTTGAGTTGGCATTGTGGCATATTTGGTTGCCAAGAGAGGTCAAAAGATATCTTTACAAGCTATTTCCTTGCGCAGACTTGACGAGCTAACCGCACATGTCTTAGCGACATCACCTTGAGCGTTTCAGTTTTACCGTACGGTTGGCTGACTCTATTTCCGGTTGTTCGTAAAACTCCTTTTGTTGTTCACGACTTTCACGACATGTGTGTTCCCGTCCGCCTTCAAGACTTTTCACATCAAAGCAAATACAACAACTGATAACTCGTTTTTAATTTCATAACTCTTTTATCTGACTGTGTAGATGATATTTACCGGTTCTTATTGATGTTGTTGTATTTTAACTCCAAACAATTAACATCTGAAGCAATAATTTGATTAAAATAAACCATGAATGTAATACAAAGGCAGGAAAACAACGTGCAAGACCTTGACAATCACCGATGTAAACAAGTTCTTCATCCGAGCGCTTATCGAATAAATCGGGTTGACGTGCTTCCACGCAGCCTTGATGGCTCATTACCACCTTTCATACTCACACGCACTTTAAGTTAATTCATGATAAAATTCAAGATGGTACATTGATTATGGAAGCTCCCTTTTGTTCAAGTAGAATTAGAACAGTTTGCCYGTGAAGTCGGAGATRAAATACCTGATAAAGTATGTAATTACCGAAGCTCTTTACAATGTTTGCCGTGCTATTAAAAAAATGGACTGGGTACACCACAGGTGCTAAAAGTCAGGGAAATTAATTGCTTGTCATCGACGTGTAGTTTACTTAATTGTGATCTCAGATATTACTATTATTTTAATTAATTTATCGACTCATAGCTTTCATACTTGTAAAAAATTGATTTAAGCCTCTTGGGTCTCAGTATGTATAATCGTCAATATAACAAATACTTCTGAATACTAAATTAATTTTAATACACTAAAAAAAATATGATCTATAATGATATTTTGTTTTATTCATTAAGTGTTGAAAAGTGAATATTATATTGAATAACCAAACAACTTGTGTAACTGATAATGATGAATAAAACATCGGCAATATTTAATGCTAGTGATGATGATTATGATGGCAATAATGCTAATARTAGTTACTCATATAAATGATATTGCCAGCAAAAATAATTAAATGATTATTATTATAGTAATTAATAAGAATTGATGTTGTCAGAATATTTTCATGACAAATAAAAAATATTTGATTTCGTTATCTATTGTGCATACTATGTGCGTTCTGATTGGCTGAGGGCTGTGTTCTATGATGAAAAGYCAATGAGCTTTGATGTTTCCAGSTCAGKAATAAAACTCTGGAAAGTGAACAGRCTACTGAAAAATTGAAAGATTAAAACTTTTCTTCTCTTCTTCTTTTCTTCTTTTTCTTTTGTCATATGCAGTGTGCTTTTTGACTGAATGTAGCTCAGGAATGTATCTGTAATTTGTTTTAGTAGTTCTATAGTTAGTAAAAATGATGATGATGACAATTAAATGATGATGATGATGATATTGATGGCATATGTCATATTGTAATGCTAATTATATTTATATTCTGTGCTATTTTATTTAAACAATAGAATAGTTGAATTGAGGGCATTATGCTGTGATGGTTGCCCATAAAAACTGGATTTTCCGAAAAAAAAAAAAAAACTTCGTTCTCTGGCAACTTTGAAGTTTTGAGGAATTTTGAAGTTTCCAAGGTCAACTATCATAGCAAAATGCCAGAGATTTAAACTGCTTTATATTTTTTATTCATAAACAAATTTTTGAAGCTGCAARTTCTATGCAATTATAGTACCCTTCCGTGGCAGGCACTGTTACATCAATTGGTTGACTCTCTACCAATTAGAGTGAAGGAAAAGTTTAATTATATGTGTTGATATGTTGTGTTTATTTGTTATTGCTTTGTGTATATTGTATTGTATTGTTTTATATTTATAGCAGTTTTCAAAAACTTATTTAATTTTTATTATATTATTACTTAAGGAATAAAAGACGAAATTCCGTGTTTGATACTCTGATCAAAACACGCGGGATGTAGGGAGAGCACGAGAGAAGCGTAGGAAACCACGACGCGTAGCGGAGTGGTTTCCAGCTTTTCGAGTGCTCTCCCTACATCCCAAGTGTTTTGATCAGAGTATCAAACACGGAATTCCGTCTTTTATTTCTTTTTTAAAATTAAAAGAAAAAAAGAAATTTTTGACGCGCGCGAGCGTGTTTTGATACTGTAATCAAACATGGTTTTCGACCAATCACAGCGCGCGTAGTATCCTAAATATTTTAGAAAAAATAATAAATGTGCAATTTCATTGTTGTTACATACTCAACTAGAATGAGGTAAGTATAGAGTGCAAGCACAAACTGTGCAACATAAATACCACTAAATACTGCTAAATTATGCTAATTCTATTGTTTTCTATTGTTGAATTAACACTATTGTAGTAAATAATGGAAAGTGTTGCACACATTTAATGTTTGTACTCTATCCTGAGGTTTTGAAAAATACTATTAATATCATTTGTTACTGACATTGACATAATATACAAGCTATACTGTTGTTCCTCAGATGCACAGAAATGGCTTGCYCCCAATSAGAAAGTTCATAAAAAATTCATTGCACCGGGATCTTTAGTTGACTTTGATTGTCGACTAAGCAATTCGTCATTACCAGTCTTTCTCTCTCGAGAAGTTTCTAAGAATAAAAAAACTGATGTAACTGTTGATGGGTCTAAAGTGGTTCAAGTTGGTCAGATGTTCATAATCTATAACTTTAACACCAACGATAATGGGGATTATAAGTGCGAGACACCCATGTCAAATGGGAGGAGGAAGGCACTGATGATGGGCATACACAAAGCCATCAGAGCCATGGGTAAGTTTTTCTCTGATGTCATTTTGTAATGCCTTTTTGCAGTAAACCATGCAGATGCACTACTAGACTTGCATAGCATCCAGACCAAGATGGCTTTTATGATCGCCATCTTGATATGTAACCGTGCCTTTGCATCGAAGTGACGACTGGTTAGCGTTCAATAACAGAAACCTTTTGTTCACACCCATGGACAATAATTCACAGGTATCTATCGTTGCATGCTCACCGACGGTCTCGCTATGATGCAGAGGCTCGGTTACATTTCAAGATGGYGCAAGGAGCCGTAATAAAACTATTTAGACCATCATTGGACCGTTTGCAATTCGTGTTGGTGTGTATCCAGGCTAAAARTTACTCTTCGTTTTAGCAATGCTATCACCTCCAACAATCGATGTGATTCCCATCAAGCTGAAAGTGCTGGAAGGTAACGACGCAGTCTTGACCTGTCGATCTACTCTGAATGTCAACACAAAATTCAAATCCATCAAATGGTACAAAAACATTCAGCCATTGTCAGAGAGATTTCAAAATTATTCCTACAAAGGCCAAGTATACACAAAGACATTGAAGTTTTCCGATCTTGACACGGATGAAAGTGAGATCTACGAGTGTCGAACTTGCTTATATCACCATTTATCTTCTATTCGCGCGTGTTGGTCTGCGAAAGCAGAGTTAATTGTKGAAGGTTAGAKCACTATYTTATTGTCATATGTTAATCCTGCCCCATTCTATTCACATGGGAGTTCGACGTCTTTTTCACTTATAAAAATTATTGCCAAGGTGCCAAGTGCATCATGGTATTTCATGAACAAGATAGTATGTTAAAACATACTGAAAAAGGTTTCATTGCAAAATGCATGGCTAAATTGGTTCTTCCAGGGACACGCTCTTTGTCTAACTCATTGTATCTTAAATATTGTGCAACTATTATTATTTTTGTGTTGCAAATGTAGCAATCATGAATTCGTGTCGAATCGTGTTACGTAACCCTTTTTATTTCTYTTTAATTACTCACTGTTCCAGAGTTTAAATTCCTGTCAAAGGGACCTTCTTTCWTTGTTGGAGACATTGGCTCTTCAGCAACCATCGATTGCSAAACAAGTGACTTCAACTCAACRACGATACTCATGCGACAGGATAACAATGGAGTTCTTATAAAAGTCATCCCAGATGGGTCTMAAATCGTTAGGAAAGGTGGAAAATTTGTTATTAATAATATTAATCTTAAAGACGGAAGTAAGTATATGTGCAAGTCTACGTCTGTGACTCAACGCATCATATCAAAGCCTGTTGGAACATTGGTTGTTTTACAAGGTAAGATTGTTTATAAAGTAATGCTCAATCTCAAGGGCGCGTAAGGTAGAGAAGAGAAACAATAAGGGACGGTCCATTTAACTTTTGA